AGAGGTAGGTCAGAGGCTTGGCTCTAACACTTCTAGTAGCCAACAAACACAGGATGATCCAATCAGCCACATGATTCAATCCTTAAGCTAAAAACACAAAGCTATCAGAGAACTGTCTTTCCCTTGGTCCTCATAAAAAGGATACTATATAATGCAACAAATAAAGTCCTCGAGGACATCTTTGCCATTGATTTCTCAGAAAACTTTGGGAAGACCATTCCTCACTACAACCCTCATAGGCAAATGACGGCACACAGTCAATAAATGCAAATGGTGGATAAGATGACAATCAGGCCAAGGAAGGGGTTCAGGTACACAGCTCCCTGCAGGTCTAGATTTATCAGAAACAGATTTTATTCTACCTGAACTAATGTAAAATCGAGAGGCTTCATGCATCCACTTATCTTTAAAATTATAAACAAAACTTGATGCACATGTCCATTCTTCTTGGGCTATGTCTGTAGTTTCATAACATCCTCAAAGGGAAGCATGACTCAAGAAAAGTTAAGAACCATTAATCTAAAGAACTAGACTATATGTATCCTTCAGGGAACCTTCCATAAGCAGTTTCTCCTCTGAACTTCTGAGAAGTGCTGAGCCTCAAGACTGCAGTCCCCGACAAGCATCTGAAGTACAACTTCTCTGATGCCAAGTGTGGAACTCTAAGCTTAACCACTGGCAAAGCTATGTGTCAATTGTATGATACAATGACCTTTAATACAGTAATGATGAAGCACATAGCAATCTGTTTTTCCAGATAGGTTTAAGCCATGAACATTGACAAAGTTGCCTCAAAGGATTGGTGATATTTCTTCCAAATAATATAAAAAGTAAAAGAAGCAAACAAAAAAACACCCACCTTTTGCCAGTAGATAAAAATTAGAGATAAGCACACACACACAAAAACATTTTCCTAGATAAACATTATTTTTAATTTTAAAAATAACCTTTCCACATCAGTTGGTATAATTTGAGCTATTTTTTTACCTTTTGTTGTAAATCTTTTATTTTTAAATTTTTTATTATACAGAATAATATTTTAAATCTTTTAGAATAATATTTTAAATAATAATATTTTAAATCTTTTATTATACAGAAAAACAATCACTGCCATAGCTTTAAACACACACACACACACACACATCAACCATCCACCCACAGTATCATGATTAGAATGTCTCAAGGGCCCAACAGCATCAAGTGAGGAAGCTGGCCTATAACAACACTGAGACAAATCTCTTTAAGATGTCATTCAGGTAGAAGTCACAGCTATCCAGAGTCTGGTCCTCAGCATAAGAAGTCCAGAGATAAATCTTTTTCAAAAATACACAATTGAATAGACTAAAGAGTATCAACTCATGCTAAGAGGCTGAAGTGGGAATCAGAATACCAACTTATTAATCAATCATAGAGAATATTCCTTTCCATTAATCAGAAAATTTGCACCAGAAGCCAGGATGCTGCTTCCCCAATGCTAAGATACCTGAAATCCCAAATTAGTAATCAGTTTACCATAAGTTCGAACAAAGAGATATAAAGTTTGAAATTATCCATATCCAACATATGCCTTTCTAGTGATCAAAACTGTGGCTTTCACATGTAGAGTCTCTCTTCCTAGGATATTGTTGCCCTAACAATGCAGACTTCTTGGTCTCTAAGCTTTCTTTTCCACATCCTTCCACATCCATTAAGTATTTCTCTAGATACGGTAAAATACAACTGATAGAGGTGTACCTTATGTGCATTATTATCCCTATTTTTCAGATTAATAACTCCCAGATAAAGTTGACTAAGCAACTTGTCCATGGTCACAGCCAATATAAGGCAAAGCAGAGATTCAAAGCCAGATCTCAAACCAAAGCCTGTGCCTTTAACTTGCAGTAAATAATGTCTTCAAAGTGTCTTTCCCTGGGCCTCCCACCTACCAGTACGATTTAAATGCCCCTACTCAGTGTTCCCATAACACCCTAAGCACACCATGACTGTGACTTTTGTTATACAGATCTTTCTCACTACACTGAAACTTTGTGAGGACAGGAAGCCTATCTCATTCACCTTTGTATCCCTAGTGTGCTATCTATCAAGGTAAATATGCAAATTAACTTGTCCAGTGGTTTAATATAAAAATCACCAAACTGAAGGCCTTGAACTAACCTTAGGAAGGTCACATCTTAAGCCCATCAACAAATACCTTATCTAAAAAATGGGATGAAATGTATACATACAAGTTGGCTTAGCTCCTTTCTACATTTAAAAAGCAGTACCGTTGTAGATGGGCCCTCATTTTTTATAGACTATCTTACCAGTTTGAATTAGTAGAAATAAAATTAAAGTCCTCATTTATCTTCTGTACACAACATATACAAATAATAGGGAGCTCAGACAAAGCTTCCTCTTCTCTGAAAGGAGACAACTATCATCTGTACCAAAATCAAACAGTGGCACCCTCCTCTGGTGAATGTTACAGGAGCTAAAACAACACAAAAGACAACAATTAGATGGTGGGGTTTTCTTTGAATGAAAGAAAAAGCAAGAAAGAAAATACCTAATATTATTTGTTATTATCACATTCCCAGTAGCAACTAAAGAACTACCTTTTACATTACTTTTCTTATCTTGCCTTAAAACAAAGCCAAGATGAATGAACTGGCTACATACTATAGGAGATTACAGATAGAACAATTACTCTATTTTTAAGGAGGGTACCTATACGTGTAAAATTCTTCTATTTAAATAAAAACATTTATCATGTCCCTTTTCTGGATGATACATTTACCAGAAGATAGTACTGGAAATTTTTCAACCTGAAGTCTGTTTAGGTCCACAACTTCCAGGTTTTAGAATATCAACTTAAAAGAAAATTTAAAATACTCATTCACTTACACGTGCAGGCTCAAAATATGTCAGTACCACACACCCAGGCAAGCACAACCCAAAGTTTCACAACATTAATATTACATCTGGACCTTTAAATTAAAAATAAATCTGTGCTTTCTAAGACCAGAAGCAGATTAACAGCTGCCCAATTTTAATTTAAAAATATATAGTAAGTAGAAGCTTTATTAAATGATTTAAAAGTCTAGGCTAGGCATATAAAATGAAAATAGAGACATTCTGGGCGCCTGGGTGGCTCAGTTGGTTAGGCGACTGCCTTCAGCTCAGGTCATGATCCCAGGGTCCTGGGATCGAGTCCCGCATTGGGCTCCCTGCTCTGTGGGGAGCCTGCTTCTCCCTCTCCCACTCCCCCTGCTTGTGTTCCCTCTCTCACTGTGTCTCTCTCTGTCAAATAAATAAATAAAAAATCTTTAAAAAAAACAAAAAAACAAAATCTTTTAAAAAAAAAAAAAAAAAAAAAGAAAATAGAGACATTCTGATCAAACCAAGAAAACAATTTAGTCATTGTACTGGGAATATTATCATTCAAATATGTTTTTACCCAAGCACGGAGCATCTCTTCCCTCAATTAATTTCAGGTCTTTCACCTATCCTATGACCAAGGGGAAAGGAACCCCACCCTACACAAAAAGCTACAAAATTACAACCAGTAACAAACCTTCATTTTGAAAGACAGAACATAGGGCTAGGGTGGATGGAAAATAGCAAAAATTGATTTCAATTCTACCAAATAAATTTTCCAACTAAGTTTGTCATTTCTGGCAAAGTTGGTTTAAGGCAGACAGATACAGTATCTGGGAAAGATTAGCAGAGTGGTGGGTGAAGTGACTTTGTATCAAAGACAGAATGCAAATAAAATAACAACCAACTGAAAGCTTTCTCAATGTTCACCCAAAGCAAAGGCCAAAGAAAAAGCAAATCATGACCTGCTGACATCCCCTACAGCCCACCAGAGACCAGAGGACCAAAATGAGAGTTGGAGGGAAAGTTGGATGAGGAACAGAGCACGGGGAGTGGGGTGGGGTGGGGTGGGGGACTCATGAAGAGGGGGTGGCAAAGGGGGCAGAGGGAATATGAGTAAAAAAGTATCCTGCAAAAAAAAAATAAATAAATAGTATGCAGCATTGAAACTCTTACCAACTGCCAATGGAGAGAGATGGGGTGGCTGACTGATGCGCTTGGGAGAATGGCGCTGGAGCCACATTTGCCACTCACTTCCCCTGGGCTAATGCCCAAGGACCAGAGCCGACCCTCGCCCCTACCTCCAGGAAATCTGAGCCCCGGCGCGCAATCAGGGTGCCGCAGAAATGCGGCAGAGGAACCCGAACCGGCCTCCAACATCATCTTTTGCCCCAGATGAACCCCAAATAAAGGAGTTTAGAAGCAGGGAGATGCCTGCGCACCAAGCCGGCCAGGGCGCCCGGACGAGATCTGGGCACCGCAGCCTCTGCGGGCATTGCCACCTCGGCAAAGGCCAGAGGCATCCCGGTCCCGTGCCACGATCCAGCTAAAAGCAGGCGACCAGTGAGGCGCTACTGTCAACTGGCCCGATTGCACTTGCAAAGTTAATGGAGTTGGGAAGAAGCGAAGAGCTGCCCTTCGGGTTCTTCCTCTAGGAGAACGGGATGGGAAGGAGTCACAGCTTCCTTCATCTTCAGTGAGCCCTCACTGACTCGGCTCAGCAGATTTTGTCTCTTTTCCCTAAAGAGAATCAAAGGTATTTTCTTTCTTCTTTGTGCCTAGCTTAGCCTCAAACCCTAGAACAGGGGCGCTGAGGCCCTAGGCCAAAGTTCACAGCAGAAACCATAAACTCTCCTCGAAAAACTAGCACAGTCATTTGCTGGGTTCTGGCCTTGGGAAACCTCAAATTATGAGGCACAAAATAGATTGTGGACGACCCTCCCTCCCCCAAATTGGCCACTGAGACCAAGAGGTCTGGACCCAGCAGTATTTTTCAGCAAGTTGAGCCACATTTGGATCTAGTGTCTTTGCCCAGCCGGGCACCAGGTCATCACCACGCCCCTCGCACCCAGTTCCTACCCCGCTGCTCACACATCCTCTTGTTTACGCACACCCACACAAACAAAACCCCAGAGAACTCCTACCTCACCCCCGTGTCCGTCAAAGATCCCGAAGATAGACGGGTGCGTCTTGTTGGCTAGGTCCGTAAGAACTTCAAATCGGTCCTCCATGTGGTCTCTCCGGCCCTGGATGGAATACACAGCCACGTTGTGGCTCTTAAACTCCCAGGTCTTGGAAAACTCGGCCTCCAGGACGTCGAGCCCCCCGAGCCGATCGTTCTGCATGATCTCGGCCACCTTGCCCTTCACCATCTTCACGGCGTCCCGGCTGGACTTGACGATGGTCTTCACCTCGTCCGTGTGGAAGAAGTAACTCCACAGTGCCAAGCTGATGCACAGCAGGAAGAGCGTCTCGGGTCTCAGCAAGAAGTAGCGCATGATGCGACCCAGCAGAGACAGCAAAGTCATTGTATCCTCTATCATTTATTATCGCTACAGCCCCAACCACCAGCAGCGACGCGCGCCCCGAAGGCTCGCCGGGTCCCGGAGCACTGCGGGGACAGCCCGCGGGGAGGGAGGCGGAGCAGCAGCCGAGGCTTGGGGGAGGAGACTCGCGGAGCCCGGCAGAAGGCGGACGAGCAGGCTGCTCCCAGCCCGCACGGCGAACAGAGGCAGTTTCCCTTTTGTCTCCCGGCCTCGGCGGCAAGGAGGCCCGCGCCTCGCGCACCGGCGCCTGTGCCCGCGGATGTGCCGCCTCCCCTCCACGCGCCCCTTTGTGAGGCGGTAGCCGAGACGGCAAAGGTGGCAGCAAAGCGGCAGCCGCCGGTGCCCGAGCTGGGCTAGAGGAATCAAGTTAAAGTTGCGCCGGGCGAGTCTACGGTGGTGGGCGGGAGAATTCGGAGGCGCTGGCGCCCGCGCGGCCCTTCCGCCGGTGCCCCCTCGCCGCTCTGGGGAGAGATCAGCAGCAGGTGAGGAGGTGCGGGGCGCGAGAGCCCAGCGGGCAAGGGATGCACGTCCCCTGGGTCGCCGCGGCAGGGGAGCGCAGAGCTTGCCGAGCGCTCCGATTCCTTCAGACACCCCGGGAAGCCCCCAGAGAATAAAAGTTTCGCGGGAGCCTGGGCAGAGGCGGGGGTACGCGGAGCCCGGCGACGCAGCACGATCCGCGCCGGCGGGCTCAGCCAGCCTCTCCCCAATACCTCCCTGCTCTGCTCGGCACCGCTCGGCTCCGCTCGCGCGCTCCCTCCTCTCGCCCCGGCTCGCGCTCGCCCCGCCCCGCGCGCGCTCGCCCCGCCCCGTCCCTCCCCTGGAGCTGGGACTCCAGGCCCGAGGTGCTCGCGCCGAGCTGTCAAAGGCTGAGGCAGCTCCGCTGAGGCAGCTCCGCCGAGGCTGGCTGGCCCGCCGCTCCGGGCCGTTCAGACGAACCGAGGGGGAGAAAAGGGGTGCGTCCGCTGCCCAGGTCGGGTAGACGGCCTTTCCTCCCTCCTGTGCGGGCTCCCAGGACAAAATAATACTAGTCCTGGTCGTCTGAACGGTGGTTTTCTCGAGAGCTATTGTCGCCGGCTGGAAAGCAAAGTGCCGCACGTGAGCGTTCCCCCCTCCGGCTGGTAGCGCTGTAGTGCGGTCCCCGCCTCGCCTGGCATAAGGCAAGCGAGAAGGGACGCACTTCTCCAGGCTCGCAAAGCGAGGCGGAGAGGATCCGACCGCTGGGTTCTGTGACAGAGGCCTGCCGGGATCTCGAGAGAGGCGGAGAGCGAGCCGGAGGCCTAGAACCTTTCTCGCGACGAGAAGGAGCCTCCCGACGACAGCAGGATGTGAGCCCTCGGAGCCCCAGGGAAGTGAGCTCTGAGGATAACCTCGGGAGGGGCGAGGATGGGCTGGCCTCCCTGAGGGCTGCGGCCGCCCTTGGAGCAGAGGACTAAACGCGAAGGCCTTCGGCGGTGGCAGCCCTTCGGCGGAGAGACTCGGAGCCTCCTAGTGGAGCCGCGGGGCGAGAGCTGTGCCTGGGCTCTTCGAGTTTCAGGGTCCTTTTGAAGCTCCAAACTCGAGGCCTCCTTCCACCTGCTCAGTCATCGCAGGAGAAAGTGCAGTCGGGGCGGGAGTCTCTCGATGAGCGGAAGTGAAGGGCCGCAGAGAAGGGTACGGGCTTCCCGAAACCATCAAGGATAACTTGTTGAAAAACGGGCCTTGAAGATTTGGGGGAAATGAACAATGTACAAATCAGCTTAAAATACAGAAAGAAGTGAGCTTTAAAGGAAAAGAGTCACTCTCGCTACCCCTGTCCAGGAAGAAAAGTGCTGATCTGCCCCTTCCAGTCCGCTAGACTGGAGAGTAGAGGCTGCCTGATCCAAGCCCAGCCAGTGTCTGTCTCCCCAGGTATTCCTGCCTTGGTATGATCCCGACTACGTTTTTAAGAAGTAAATAAATAAATAATAAAATAAAATAAAAAGGAATAAAATACTGGAAGGAAATACACCAAAATGTTCAGTGTGTTTAACTACAGTAGTAGATGATATGTGGTTTTCATGTTCTGCCCCTGGACTTTTGTGTGCTTTTTACAACTTCTCCAAAATATCTACAAAAAGCATAGATTGCCATCATAACCAAAAAAAGAAAGAAAACTTTGACATTTAAATGGCATATACAGTATGTTCTCAATTACATAAGCATGCATAGAAAAGACAGGAAGGAAATACGAAGAACTGTTAACAGTATGTTGTTGGTTTTGTTTTTTTGTTTGTTTGTTCGTTTTTTGAGAGAGAGAGAGCATGAGAGTGGGGGAGGGTCAGAGGGAGAAGCAGACTCCCTGCTCAGCAGGGAGCCCGATGCGGGACTCTATCCTGGGACTCCAGGATCATGACCTGAGCCAAAAGCACTTAACCAACTGAGCCACCCAGGTGCCCCAACAGTATGTTGTTTTTGACAACTAAGATATGGTCCCCTATTTTGTTTTGCACTTTTTGGTATATTCCATCTGATAAATAGAATAAACAGTTTTGAAATAAATTAAGTCATTCTGTTCAAAAGTCGTAAGTCATGAGATTCCAAAATGAGATAATGAATTTAAAAAGCCTTTAGGAACTATAAAGCAAAAGTAATACATTAGTGTTGTCATGAAGATATGAGTTTACATTATTTCTTACTGTAAATTAGCAAACGGCTTTTGGGTGCATTATCAGTTTCTCTGTACATGAACCTTTCTCTTAAAGCAAAGGCACCTTCCAGATAAGTTGATCAAGATTCCAGAACTACAAGTCCAACCAGGCCCTGGAGCAGAAGTAAAATTCCAAACCTAGGGGCCCATCCAGCCTGTCCACAACATTACTATATTGATGATAGCAGGAGATACTCATGAGAGGCATGACTTGTGTTTCTTCCATACCTTAATAAAGAGGAGAAAGGACCATACTGGTTTCCCTGGAAGTTAAATAGCAAAAGGAGGTCTTGACTTGATAAATCTAGATACCCTGTGGATTCTGTGGAGATAAGCTTTGACATTTACATCTAAATAGTTCATTTTTGTGAAAAATCAATAAAATGATTTTTCCAGCAGACCCTATAGGCATTTTCTCGTTTCTTTTAAGAAATTCGTATCGTTTACATAGTAACTTTTAAAGGCCTAATAAAGCGTTTTGTTAGAGGTCACTGTGAATGTTAATGTATTTGAGAAAAAGACCTTCCTCTAGTGACAAACGAACATTTGCATATTCCTAGAAATTATAAAGGTTTTTCATGTATATCAATTTATTTCCATTCTCATAACAATCCTAGGAGGAAGATAAAGGAGCTATTATCTCTGTTATAATATGAGGAAAATGAGGCACAAAGATGTTAACTGAATGCCACAATTCAATATAAGAAGTTGGAAACTCAAACTCAGTTCTTCTGACCACCAATTCAATCCTCTTAGCATCCATTGATTGCCCAGTGATACTGAGATGATTAGTCTAATTTTTATGCTTCTCTAGTAACATTTCAGTGGCTCTTTGTTACAGAAATCTGAAAAAGAGTACACAGGCTCTTATCCCACAGTTCTGACTTTAACCTTTGACTTTAGCCTTGTCAGCACTGCACTGTTAAGTACCTCACCCACAGAGAATATGTGCTGGGCAGTGGACAAGTACAAGTAAACTGTCCTTCATCTCTACATAAAAGCCTAAAAGATTTGTTGCTAGAGTAAAATACTGTCTGAATTTCACAGGGAAGAGTACCATAGACTGTGCCTTGTGCAAATACTGTACCATTACAGGTGACATAGTAATGAACCAAGAGCTAATTGCAATCCTAGGTTTTCATGAAATACAGTAATAGTAATAAATATTTACCAGGTAATTACCATTTTTAACTCTGCAATGAACTCATGTCAGCCTTGCAAGAATATAAAGAACAGAGGCGCCTGGGTGGCTCAGTCGTTAAGCGGCTGCCTTCGGCTCAGGTCATGATCTCAGGGTCCTGGGATCGAGCCCCGCATCGGGCTCCCTGCTCCGCGGGAAGCCTGCTTCTCCCTCTCCCATTCCCCCTGCTTGTATTCCCTCTCTCACTGTGTCTCTCTCTGTCAGATAAATAAATAAAATCTTTTAAAAAATTAAAAAATTTTAAAAAATTTTAAAAATTAAAAAAAGAATATAAAGAACAAAATATATAGCTTTTAGAAGTAACACATTCTCAGAAAAAACTTTCAGAATTGTAGCTTTTAGGTTTAAGAAATCTTTAAAACAGAGTTTGATAACAAATCTATTTTCTGTATGATGTCGTTCTATGATGTCCTCATTTCTTTTTGTTTTTGCCACTTATAACAAAGTTGTAAAAATTAAGTAAAATGACTTATCAGCTCTGAATGATGAATGTAATAAAAATATCCCTGAAATAAATTTTAAATTAATCCTCTATACATGTAGAAATTCTCTGCACATTTTTCTATTTCCCAATTACGAGTTTGATTTGTATTCTGTATTGTTTATATTTGTGTTCTACATCGTTCATATTTGTATTCTGTATTTTTCCTGCCTTTTGCATACAAATATATACTGAGTATTGAGTAGTATTCTTTTACTAATATTCTATCAGTATACATCTATATTTTTAAACTATACATACAAAAGGGTGCATGAAGCACAACAACCATGAGTACTACACCCATGAACCCATCATCCCACCTAAAAACCGAACTGTGACCAATCTCTGTACCAGCCTACGAGTTTCTTTCCCTATCCCACTTCCCTCCTTGTCCTCCACAGGTAACTGCTATCATGAATTTTGTGTTTTACCACCCCCTTGTCTTTTTAAAAAATAACGTCATCATATATGTCTGCATCCGTAAGTAATATATTTTTTTAGTTTTGCTTGGTTTTAAGCTTTTTATAAAACAGGTATCTTACTGTGTGTAGTCTTCTGTTTTTTTTTTTTTTACTTAATACTGATTTCTAGATCCTTCCATTGCATATAGTTCATTTTCACTGCTCCATAATATTCTGTGTGACTATTCTACAATTTATCTATCTTCCTTCTATAAACATTTAAGTATCCAGTTTTTTGCTCTTATGATCAATGATTTCATGACTAATCTTTGTACTATCTCTTGGGATATGTGTGTAAAACTTTCTCTACAATATATACCCAGCAGTGAAATTACTGGGTAGTTGGGAATGAAAATGTTCAACTTTACAATTTGGGGCCAAATTATTTTTGAAAATACATTGTTCTCATTTACACTCCCACCAACAGTGTGATCAAAGCTGTTTCATAAAAAGGACCATTACTATAAATTCTATCCTAAATGTGATTTTCAACATTGGTCTTTAAGTAAATGATTAACCATGATCGTGACTATTAACCCATTTTTAACCTTCAGTGCTTCTCATAAAACCTTCTTGGATGTACAATTCAATAATAAATCTTCAGTTTTAAATGCACTTTAAGTGGAAATGAATCTGTTTTAGTAGTACATCTAAGAAAATAAATTCATCATTTTAAGTAAGTATAATACATCAATCTGGACTTGTAATTTTAATATCTCAATTGTGGGTCAAATGGAAAACTAATCTGACAGACACCAATCATGTTACGGTGTAATACGATTTTATTTCACTGGACTCCAAAAACACAGGGTCCTTTTCTATAACCCATGTTTTTGTATTAATTACAAAGATATATCAAGGAGACCTCTTTTCTGAATAAGATTTTTATATCATTGCAAGTCTGTGTACATAAACCACACTTATCCTAAGAATCCTTCATCTAATTACGCTAGGCTTCTCTATGATAATCTTCAAACAAGCTTCCAAAATTATAAAGTTAATCTAAAGCATTACCTAAATTTTTATCCTAATTAACACACATCAACATTCTAGCTAATTTATAATGTGAAACATTATGAATAGTTGAATAATCTTGCTTAAAACCCCTAGATGACTTCTCAGTGCTCTTAGAACAAAGGCACAAGTCTTAGCAATGACCTTCTTGTCCTTCTCAGCCTTATGCCGTGGCACCTGCTCCCTCAGCCCATACACTTCAGCCACATTTGCCTTCTTACAGTTCCTATAAAGCATCAAGCTCACTTTTGACTCAGGACCTTTATTCATGCAGTTCCATTTAGCTGGTATGCTCACTTTTCCCAAGCCCACTCTTCCATCCACACTTCCTAGTTACCTATCATCCCTCACATCTCAGCTCTATATCACTCCCTCAAGAGCTCTTCCTGACTCAACAATCAAAATGAGGTCCCTCTTCTCTCTGTCATGGCAACCTGTACTTTACTTCAGAGTGCTCATCAAAGTTGTACATATATATTTTGTGTGACTTTATGACGTTAATGCCTGCTCCCCGCCCTGACTCTCACTATAGTTTATATGCTCCATGAGAGCAGGAACCACCTCTGTTTCGCTCTCCAGTGTACCTGCAGCACCTAACACAATGCCTGGCACACACTAAGCACTATAAATATTTGTTCATGAATGAATGAAGGTAGTTATTCTAAATCATTATTTCAGCCCCACTCAAATTCTGTCTACTATTGCTGGTCATAAGTGAAACTAATCACTGTGCCTTTGAATCCTGGATAGCAATAAAAAAGA